AGGAAGGCACCCATCTGGAACAACTGTGCCCCCTCCCATGCTGTCAGTGTCCCCAGAGGTCTCCCAGGAAGCAGGAAGACAGGAGTGTGTAGAATGGTATTCTGACCTAGCTATGGAAACCCTGCAGGCCCAGGCTCCCTGGAGAGCCCTTGGAGAAAGCAGGGGAGGCTATCCTCCAGAGGGCAGATCAGAGCAGTCTAGAGACTCCCCAGACTTACCTTCTGGAGAAGGTCCCTCCTCTCTACCCTCTACACAGAGACCTGGAAGGTGCCACCATGCCTCAGCCCTGCATCCAGGTGAGATGCACAACACCTGGATTGTGTGGGGAGTCAGTGTCACTCCTCTCACTGACCAGATGCAACTTGATTCCATGCATGCTATCGGTCTCAAGCTGAAGAAACAGGAGACTGCTCAAAAGTGCATTACAGGAAATAATTTTGTAAACCCACATCTTTAGAAGTACCTAGACATTTCAGCTGCCCAAATCAGGATACTCTAACCAATCCCAGTTGTATACACTGCTGAGTATTTCTCAGTCAATTGAGATTCCCTTTATGGCAGTCTCAAAATTCATTAGTCACTTTTTGAAAAAATGACACAAATCAGAACATGGCCCAGTAAGATGGTAATCAAATTCCTCCAGAAAAACACACTGGTGATTAACCAACAGTCTGTTCCTAAATGGGATGACTTCACTGCACAGAGAGCTCCTTCTAACTGTTCTTAAGCATTGGAGCAGGGCAGGTGTTGAGGGGCAGGGGATGTAGAAAAAGGTAAAAATATAAAATCACAGAATCATAGACTGTATTAGGAGACCCTCAAAGGCCATCTAGTCCAACCCCCTGCAGTGAGCAGGGATGTCTTTACTAGAGCAGGTTGCTCAGAGCCCCATCAAGCCTGACCCTGAATATCTCCAGGGATGAGGCCTCCACTACCTCTCTGGGCAACCTGTTCCAATGATCCACCACCCTCATACTGAAGAACTTTTTCCTAATATCCAACCTAAATCTACCCTTTTCTAGTTTAAAACCATTACCCCTCATCCTATTGCTGCATGCCCTTGTGACCAGTTCTTTCCCAGTTTGCTTTTGTATTAGTGAAGTAGTGCAACATCAATCTTCTCTCTTCCTCTGCAGGTACAGCAGTTAATTTGAGATTATAACAACAGATAGTTGTGATGGCAGAACATAATGATTAAACACAATATGAGCAAAGGTCATAGCAATAAATAAACATTTTGTTTGTGTTTTTAATCAGTTTAAATCCAGACTCCACAACAAACACTGAGGTTAAAGCCAACCCATCCTTACTCTCTTTTAAGAAGCTGGCTGAAGGATTTCAGCCTCTGTTTTTTTCAGCTAGACTCTCAAGAAACACTGCCCACTCACACCACCTTCCCGTGCACGCCTCCGCTCTATGCGTGGAAGTGACCAGGGATGCCATTTAAGGACCATGTGCAAGACACATAGCTGAGTGGCCAGAGCAGCATGAGCAAGAGGCCATGTGGCATCAGCAGAGATGCTGACTCACTCCACAACCTCGGCCAACTCCCCTCAGCTGGTCAAACTGTTCATTAGCCGAAAACAGAACTGCACCAAGAAGCAGATGCTCTGGCTGAGTTTCACTCCCCGGGGTGGACTGTCAAGGGCTTACCAGCAGGACAACCACAGTGAGAGGGAGAGACTGAGCCACGTTCCCTGGGCCCATCCTTCCAACTCTGCCAGACAGCTTGAAAGCTAAAGGACTGTACTATCAAACATCCTCTCCCATCCTGCCCCTCTAAATTACTTGACAGGAAAGGGGGTGAAAAAAAAAAAAAATAAAACAAAAAGAGGAAGCAACATGGCTGTGACCAAGTCATTACTTTTGTCACTGGCCCATGCAGTGGTCCACCCAAAGTGTTTTCAAAACTATCCTCTTTCACTTATGTTCCTTTTTTCCTGGTTGCTTTCTTTTTTTTCCTTTCATTACCTATTTCCACCAGCATAAACTCACCTCTCATTTTCCTTACCATGGCATGATTAACTCCCTCTCACACACTACCTGTTGTACTCGTGTTTGCATCCCAGTGTGGCAAAAGGCAACTTTTAACTCCACATGTACCACCTCCAGGCTGCCCCTCAAGGTGATCGGCTCCACTTCCCAAGGGGCAGCAAGCACTGAACCAGCGACATGGGTCAGCAGGTCCAGAGGCAAGTAAATCAGGCAAAAACCACTGAATTCAGAGGTTTTGGGATGGGTGGGCAGGGAAAGAAGGGTGAGCATGAGGCAGAGAGGAGGTGCAGCACCATCTAAATCCAACACTGATGTTGTCCAATCTTAACAGACCAGCTGTGCTATCAGACAGACCAGGAAGGACAGGCTACCACAGTAGGCCTTGTGAGTCCTGCTTTGCTGTTGTAGCCAAACATAGGAAATACAGGGTCTACATGTATCAGACTGTACAGGCACAACTGTTTTGCTTCTGAGTAGGGACAAGTTGGCTGGAACTGCTGCTAACAGAGTGCTTTGTGAACAGGTCATTTATTTGGATGTCTCCACAAAGTTTTTTTGTGTTTTCTAAATATGGTTCTGCCTTTTTGTACACAAAAAATAAACCTCATGCAAAAAGGAAAAAAATCCAGAGAATCTTACATCAGACACAGACAGCACTAGATTCAGTGGTCAGACAGTAATCTTCAGACCTATCAGTCTCACAAGCAGTGATAACAGAACTCTTTAGCAGTTGTTATAAATAACCAAAATAATGAAAGCAATGAGCGGTAGGCATACTAAGCCTTTACTTATAAGGAGGGCTTGAAATAAGCCTTACAAAGAATCTGCCTGGCTCACAGGCTTGCCTGCCAAGCACATGAATCGTTTAAGGCAGGCCAATGTTTAGGAATTCCAGCTGAAGCATGCTCCGAGGAGATGGCATTCATTTTTCTTAAAGTACTTGCAGCACAGCACACAGATGAGAGATTAAACAAGTCCTTCTGTAAGTGCTACCAGGTGAATCCAGAAATGAAGCAAGATGGGGTTAAAGAAGCTGCAGAGATGTCACAGAATTCTGTAGGCCTGCAAAACAACACCTCAAGACCCCTGCTAAGTAATCCTAGAGATAAGGATAAAAACTAATCTTACCTTTAAAGTTGCCAATGAACAAGCCAGGCAGAATCTGTGAGAAAGAAATATAGTATCAAATATAGATACCTTGTGGTAAGACAATTTGACAAAGTTCAATTTGCATACAGGATGGAACATACTACTTTAGCAGGCTTAGATTGCATTGTCAAATGCAATCTAAAAAGCGCTGACAGCATTTTGTGCCTCTTTGCCACCTTCTCAAACTACAGAGCTCTAGGTATGCTGCGCTTTGAGATCATTTGTTGACAGCCAGGGATTGTTAATCATGCAGACTCTTGCATAATGGAGGCTCTCCAAGGACAGCAAAAATGGTTTACAAATACAAAGCAGGCCTCAAAACACACCCCTCCCCCTGCCTCCCCGCAGCAGGATAAGAGTTACCCTCATCTAACTAATGATGAAACTTCATACAGAAAAGGTGATTTGCCTAAAGTTGCTAAGCAAGCTGGACAAAGCACTGCAAAATGACATCCTTCAAGTCTTTCAAGTGCAAAGCCAGGGCTGCAGCACTTCGGGGCTCTTCCATGGAGGAAATCACTGCAAAAAACAGGTTGTGTATTCACATGGAAAGAGAACTGATGAAAGTCCTCAAGTTGCATGTTTCTTTCCCAGATCTACCCACTCACCCCAGTACTCCCAGAAGCTTGCACAGGTCTCAGTTACAGAACTTTCTTTAACCAGGGAGTTTCAAGGTCAGCCTGAGGACCCGCCTGTGCAGTCTGAGGACGCATGCATGCACACACACACACAGAGGCAGGTGACACTGCAATGCCACCCCTCCCACCCTCTCAACTTGGGAACAGCAGTAAGGACGTGAAAAACCCCCAGGCACACCGGAGGACACATTTTCTGGATGAGAATTTTGTTCTCTGCCACCTGAAGTCTCTGACCCACACACACATCCTTTGAAAAGACCAGAACTATGGTGGTGAAACTGCACAATCCATTTTTCTTCAGTGCATGCCGAGCATGCCACCAATACAGATATGTCAGCGCTGACTTCCTAAAGCCTTAGCAACACCCAAGTGTCACCACAACAGCAGCAACAGTCTCTCAGGCACAGCTATTTAAAGGGAAAACCCCACCCATTTTGCTCAGTCCGACAGCCGCGAAGTTCCGAAAGTCATGAAGGACTTTTCATCAGGGATTAT